CAATACTATTGATCTACATATGCTTTCAGATTTGATTCATATTATGATTTATTGGTATGTTTTATTTCAATATAGTTTCATAATATACATTAAATGTGTCTCATAACAATAAAAAAAAAATTCAGGTTTACATGTTGTCTCTGGGAGTTGCCATACCTCAGAGTTCAAAGTGTATTCTGTAGGTTAGTAACATACTGATATGTAATTGCAATTATGTAGCAAAAGTGATTCAAGAAGAAAACATAGTGCCTATTTACCTTTGTATAAGCAATTGTTACTTTGCTTTCAACATTTGTAACTTATTTTAAATTATTATGTATGTATGTATAGGAATGTCATAGATGCAGATAGCCCAGGCACAAAGTATTGATTATTTTGTGAAAGAAAAAAAAAAAAAAGATTTGGTTGATAGTGACCTTCAATTCTCCATATTTCTTTACTGACCATAAGTAATATTTATTCCATTTTCCCCATTTCTTTTTTTTTAATATTTATTTTTTTTAGTTGTAGTTGGACATGATATCTTTATTATTTTGTTTATTTTTTTATGTGGTGCTGAAGATTGAACCTGGGGCCTCGAACATGCTAGGCAAGCCCTCTACCTCTGAGCCATGATCCCAGCCCACATTTTTCCCATTTCAAAGACATTGAGCTGGGCTGGGTGTGGTGATGTATACTGGTAGTCCCAGAGGCTTAGTAGGCTGAGGCAGGAGTATCTCAAGTTCAAGGCCAGCCTCAGCAACTTAATGAGGTCCTGCAATAAAAAGTACAGGGGATGTAGCTCAGCGTATGGTACCCAAGTTCAATCTCTAGTACCAAAACAATAAAAAGGAAAATTTCAGGGCAAGAGAGGGTCCTCTCTATTGTTACTTTTGCTAAAAGGGAGGTTTTTTTTTTTTTTTTCCTATTACTGCTTTTTCTTACAACACATTCCCATTTTAGCTACCTTTAGGATCTCTGTTGTTAGAGTCTAGGTTCACAGATTATTTTAATTTCCCAAAGGACTTAGGAGCATATGAACCAAAATTCCCTAGGAGTTAGTTGTCAGCTCCATATTAACTCCCCTGCTGCCTYGCCACTATAGCCTATGGTATAGTGCTGATTCCAGGCTGAAGTGCTGGTGCAGAGGCTTCTTGCAGGCTTTTAGGTGAAGGCACTAAGGTTTTGTCTCTAGGATCTGCATGTGTCTGTTTCCTCTCACCCATGTCCCACTTGCTTTTTCTTGGTAAGGGCTTGCCTTCCCTCTCATGTGTTCTTTCTCTTGTGTTTTCCATGGCAGGAAGCTGTTGGCTCTTGGCTGTCAGTATGCCTATATGTAATATGTTGGTAGGAGGCCATACTGCCCACTGATTAGGGGCCCAGAATTAGGAAAATCTTGGATCAATCTTGGCTGTGAGTCTTGAAAAAGTGATATAATTGCTCTGAGCCTCAGTTTGCTTATTTTTATGTTTATTTTTTATTTTTTTTTTTTAGAGAGAGAGAGAGAGAGAGAGAGAGAATTTTTTAATGTTTATTTTTTAGTTTTCGGCGGGCACAACATCTTTGTTTGTATGTGGTGCTGAGGATCGAACCCGGACCGCACGCATGCCAGGCGAGTGTGCTACCGCTTGAGCCACATCCCCAGCCCCAGTTTGCTTATTTTTAAATGGAATACCAGTAATACAGTAATCTCATAGGACTATTAGGATTAAATATTGACATGAATGTAAGAGGCTTAGTTCCACATCTAGCATACATTGTTAGCCATCATTATTGTTTATTTTTGTTGTTATTGTTGTTGCTACTATTATTTTACTAATACCTCTGTTCTTATCACTCCTAGTACTCTTTTTTTTTTTTTTCTGTACTGGCTATTGAACCTAGGACCTTGTACATGTTAGGCAAGTTCTGTATAACTGAACTACATCCCTAGCTCTTTTTAATTTTATTTTGAGTAAGGGTTTTGCTCAGTTTCCTAGGCTGGCCTCAAATTTATAATCCTCCTGCCTCAGTCTCTTTAAGTAGTTGGGATTATAGGTGTGTACCACCATGCCTGACTACTACTACTCTTTGTTGGGCTGTTTAGTTCCTAAGGAGGCTGATGTAGATATTAATGTGAGAATTAGATGCAGTAGGCAAAATGATGTAGCAAAAACAACAACAACAACAAAAACTTGTAGAGCTGGATGTGATGGTGCATGYTTATAATGCCAGTGGCTTGGGAGGCTGAGGCAGGAGGATCACAAGTTTAAGGCTAGCCTCAGCAACTTAGTGAGGCCTTAAGCAACTTAGTGAGGTCCTATCTCAAAATAAAAAAATAAAAATAAAAAAATAAGCAGCCCTGGGTTCAATCCCCAGTACCAAACAAACAAAAAAAAACTTGGGGGTGTAATTAAGTGGTAGAACATGTAGTTAATATGTACAATGACCTAAATTCAATCCCTAGCACCACCATCCCCCCATTAAAAAGGAAAAAAAAAAAAAGGTATTCTGGGAAGATACAGCTCTACAGGACAGAGGTTAAACCCATATATTAGGATTGTCTATTAGTATTGTACAGGTAAGTGTAGGATGCTTGCTTCTTAAGGTGCGGCACCCTAAAGAAGAGCCAGGTGTCTTCATTGGCATGGTCTTACATGAACAAGTGAATTCTGAGCCTCAATGGTTGATTGAAGTATGGCACTTCTGCTATTCCTAGGTATTGTAAAACCTTACATGAAATCTCAAAGACGGAAGGAAGCTGTTGTACAAAACCTAATGTGGAGCACATCATAATAATATTGTCCCATAACAACTCATTAATAATAAGTCCTGAATCCCTGATTTTCTCTTTCTCTCTTCCTCCCTCTCCCCCCCTGCCCTCCCTCTCTTTTAGGAAGCATTTATTCGAAGCATTTTGTCAAAGCCTTTCAAAGTCCCTATTCCAAATTATCAAGGTAAAATGGAGACTTCAGTTTTTTTAATTAGTCATATATGAATGTGCCTGAATAGATTAAAAACCTTTGCTTAGATGGGAAATGAAGATGTCAGTCCTGCTTTGACTGTATTTAGGATGACCCTGTGTGAAAGTTGTATTAGCTTCAGCAAGGACTGTCAAGACTGACTGCCCTTCATCTTCTTTGTGGGGATATGCCAATGTTCAGAAAGCTCCTGGTAGGCCAAAGTAGCTAATGGACCTGGGCTTTCTTCAGTCTAAATGTATTCAGTGGCATCTCCTTTATGAGGCTGTGTGGGAATCCTCATTTCTACAAAGTTTCCCCTGTTCTATTTAGGGCATTGCATTGTGCTAAAACAGGCTGGGGAGGGAGGATGCCAGCCCTCAAGAGCTCTCAGACTTAAAAAGCCTCTTTAAGGTTTCAGACCTTCCCAGGACTGACTCAAGATGAACAAGTTCCAGCCCTCCAGAAGTTTGGAGGAGTTTGGGGAAAGAGTGGATCATATGAAAGCTCAGGAAAGGTTATGTGAAGGATGTGCATTAAAGCTGGGCCTGCTGGAGCTCCTGAACATAAAGTCTTAGTTGACAGATTGATTGCTGATTTCTAGGTCCTCTGGGCTCTCGGGCATTGGGTCTGAAAAGGACTGGGGTCCGCCGGGCTCTTCATGATCCCCTGGAAGAAGGTGCCTTGATTCTGTACGAGCCTCCCCCACTGAGTGCCCATGATCAGCTGAAGCTTGACAAGTATGTGCATTGATATTCCTTCAGCAGTTGTAGTCTTCTCTAAGAGCATACCTGGGTGGGCAGAGGATTATTTTGGTATGACTTTTCTGTGGGACTGGAATAGATTATCATGGAGCTGTTTTAGTTATTTAATCATCCAGAAACTGGTAGTCGGGGAGGGGAGACCCTGAGGAAGAGCTTGTGGTCATGTCCAGTTAGTAGGGTTCCTCACTCCTCCTACCATGTTCAATCATGAGAGGAGTAATTAAAGTGAAGACATGGGAAATCCATCTTTCTTTCCTAACTTCCTAACTTTTAGAGCAGGAACTTGGACTAGGCCAGAAAGGTACTTTCTTAGCTGTGTCTGTGGTTCTGGATTGGCAGAACACAACTTCCTGAGGGCAGAACACAACTTCTGAGGGTGTGCCCCTGCCCCTGTCTGAGCACCATGTTTTTTTTTTTCTGTTTTCTCTCAGGGAAAAACTTCCTGTCCATGTGGTTGTTGATCCTATTCTTAGTAAGGTTTTGCGGCCTCATCAGAGAGAGGTAAATGAGGGTGAGAAGAATGAGGTATGGGTGGGGAATTGAGCCTGGGAGACTACTTTCTCTGGGGCATTGGTTTTATAGATGCCAAAATGGACTGAATGCCGTTATTCCCCAGGGAGTGAAGTTCCTGTGGGAATGTGTCACCAGTAGGCGCATACCTGGCAGCCATGGCTGCATCATGGCTGATGAAATGGGCCTGGGAAAGACACTGCAGTGCATCACGTTGATGTGGACACTTTTGCGCCAAAGTCCAGAGTGCAAGCCAGAAATTGATAAAGCAGTGGTGGTGTCGCCCTCCAGTCTGGTGAAGAACTGGTATAATGAGGTTGGGAAATGGCTTGGAGGAAGGATCCAACCTCTGGCCATCGACGGAGGATCTAAAAATGAGATAGATCAAAAGCTGGGTATGATTTAATCTACCTATCTTCTATTTATTTATCTATTTTGTGGTACTGGGGATTGAACCCATGGGTGCTCTGTGACTGAACTACATCCCCAGTCCTTTTTATTTCTTATTTTGAGGTAGGGTCTTGCTAATAGTCTGACCTCAAAGTTGTGATCCTCCTGCCTCACCCTCCCAAAGTGTTGGGATTATAGGTGTGTGCCACCATTCCCTGCTCTGCTTCTTGCTTTCTTACGTGTATGCTTACTTGTGGCCAGAGTTGAGGGCAATGCAGGAATAGAATTTTCATTGAAAATAGCTGAAATAATCATTTCTAAGCTACATTAACAGCCATTGCTTGGTGTGGTAGTGTGCACCTGTAATCCTAGCTACTCAAGAGGCCAAGGGAGGAGGATCACCGGTTCAAGGTCAGCCTGTGTTATTTAGTGAGACCCTGTCTTAAAATAAAGAACAAAAAGGGGTTGGGGATATAGCTCAGTGGTAAAGTGCTTGCCTAGCTTGCCTGAGGCCCTGGRTTCAATCCCCAATAACATGCATACATACACAGAAAGAAAGAACAGGGCTGGGGATGTGGCTCAAGCGGTAGCGCGCTCGCCTGGCATGCGTGCCGCCCGGGTTCGATCCTCAGCACCACATACAAAGATGTTGTCTGCCGAAAACTAAAAAAATAAATAAATATTAAAAAATTCTCTCTCTTTAAAAAAAAAAAAAAAAGAAAGAACGAAAGTAAGAAAGAATAATTTTTTTCTTTAATATGTTCTGATTTGGTTCTTTGAAACTTTTCTGTTGTAGAAGGATTCATGAACCAGCGTGGAGCCAGAGTGCCTTCTCCTATCCTCATCATTTCCTATGAGACTTTCCGCCTTCATGTTGGAGTTCTTCAGAAAGGAAGTGTTGGACTGGTCATATGTGATGAGGTACTTGATGCTCAACTGTCTGGGTATACAAGATCCACGAAAGTCTCCTAACCTGAGTACTGCCACCATCTCAGAGCTTCACTAGTCACTTAGAGTGCTGAGGACAGATGAAGCTGTCTTGGAGAAGATAAGGGAGAAGTAGAGCTTGTAACACCAATCTGCTAAAGAGATTAAACAGTGCTCACAACTCTAAGGGGAGTGAGTTGCTATGGGCCAATTGGTTTTGTTGTTTCTAGACAGTATTCCTAGACCAAAGAAGAACCTTGAATGATGGGGGGTAGGGGAGGGGTTTGGATTGGTAGAGAGACATGGCACAATGTTTCGGATAATAGGATCTAGAGTCAGAGATATTTATTTATATCCTTGCTTTGCCACTTCTCAGTAGTGTGACTATGGAGTTTTTACTTAACTACCTGAGCCTTTGTTTCTGCATCAAGAAAATGGGGTGATAGTACCTGTCTCATAGAATTATTATTATTATTGGTATTGGGGATTGAACCCAGGGATGCTTAACCACTGATCCATATCCCCAGGCCTTTTACTTTTTTTTTTTTTTTTTTTTTGAGACAGGTTGCTTAAGGCTTTAGCTGGGATCATAGGTGTGCGCCACTGCACCTGGCCTCATAGGATTATTATAGTATGCAGGAATTGTGGTAAAGAAGCTAGTATTCAGAAAATAGTGAGGGTGGCTGGGTACTTTTACTTTATTTATTTATTTTTTTTAAAGAGAGAGAGAATTTTAATATTTATTTTTTAGTTTTTTGATGGACACAACATCTTTGTTTGTATGTGGTGCTGAGGATCGAACCCGGGCTGCACGCATGCTAGGCGAGCGCGATACCTCTTGAGCCACATCTCCAGCCCGGTACTTTTACTTTAGAGAGCCTTCCTGGACTCTAGTGAACTTGGCTACCCTGAGGCTGCTGCTCTGTTTGTACCTTATGGGGAGCACTAGAGTTTTTTTCATATTTCTGGGACACTAGTAGAGATTTGGTTGAAAGACTTGGCCCCACCTGCTATCCGATTGGCATGCTTGGCTGGGCTCTGGGGCTTCTAGAACAGCCTAGTATCTGAGGAGTGTAGGGATGGGACAGAATACAAAAACTTACTTTTGGATATTGTGCTTGCAAATTGTGAACTACTTCCTACCTGGGCCTTTGAATTTAGGAAAAGTCAGTCATTGTCTGTAAATTGCTGATACCCTAATGGACTGTTCTCTAGGTAGTGGTAAAGGATTTAGGAGCTTGGGGGTATGCATGTGACTGCCCTCTGCTTGGGTCGTGGCATCTGTTTCATGATAATGGAGGGGGGTTGCCAGATGCTGTGACACATGCCTGTAACCCCAGCAACTTAGGAAGTTGAGGCAGGAGTATTGCAAGTTCAAGTCCCTTTGTGCCTCATTCAGATCCATTTACTTTACTCACACAGAGCCAGCCAGGTTAAAGATGCTGGGGAAACACATAAAATACGTGGATGATACTTAATAGGAGTCATATTTCAAAGAGATAGAAGTGGTAATATTTAATCTAGGTAAATTTTTTGTTTTTAGAAAAGAAGAATCAAACTGGGCATTGTAGTGCCTGCCTATAACCCCAGCAATTTGGGAGGCTGAAGCAGGAGGAACTGCAATCTAGCAAGGCTCTAAGCAACTTAGCAAGGTCCTGTCTCAAGGGGCTAGGGCTATAGCTGAGTGGCAGAGTGCTTGCCTAGCATGTGTGAGGCACTGGTTTGATCCTCAGCACCATATAAAAAATAAATTAATAAACAAAGATTGTATGCTCATCTACAACTTAAAATATTAAAAAAAAAGACCCTGTCTCAAAATAAAAATTAAAAAGGACTGGGAATATAGCTCAGTGGTAAAGTGCCCTTAGGATAAATTCCCAGTGCCTCCAAAAGAGAGAATATAAGTAAAGTTCTTAAAGACAGTGCCTGGCACATTAAAAGTTTCACTAAATAGTAGCGTCGGGTTGGGGACGTGGCTCAAACGGTAGCACACTCGCCTGGCATGTGTGCGGCCTGGGTTCGATCCTCAGCACCACATACAAACAAAGATGTTGTGTCCGCCGAAAACTAAAAAATAAATATTAAAAAAATTCTCTTTCTCTCTCTCTCTTTAAAAAATAAATAAATAAATAAATAAATAGCGTCAATGTGTATATAGTTCCATAGGAGCACAAAGGTAGGAGAAACCAGTAGTATTGAGTCATTGAAGAAGGCTTTGCATAGGAGTTGACATTTGAGGAATATGTCTTTTGGGGATAGCTCTAGGCAGAGAAGTGGCATTGGCAAAGATCTAGGGAAATCCAGCAAGGGTGTGCCAAGGAGGCAAACCTTCCTGGACTATGACAAGTTGTGGAGATTGTCAGAGAATTTAGCTGGAGCCTAATGAATAATTAGAGCTTTGAATGTTGAACTAATGAGCCTAAAGATCTTGGACTTGACCCTATAATTAGGAATCAGTGGAGGATGTACATTCAATTGCATTGTCAAAGGATGACCAGAGGGAGCAAGGCTGACATGTTTGTGCATTTTTTCACTAGTCATTGAGTTATGTGTGATTTGCTTAGCATGGAGTGGGAGCAGAACATAGAAAAGGCACAGACCTGATCTTGCCCATATGTTTCTTGGAGAAGAAGGGAAGGTAGTAGGTTTCTTTATCATTTTCTAGAAGTGGCTCTTTAGATATACTAGCTATGTAAATTCTGGTAGAAGTCAATGAGGCACAAAGGGACAGCCCATCCATACTTGAGCCTGGTATTTATTTCTGTTGGGCAAGTATGCATTTCTTTGGAGTTGTGGCTTAGTGATAGAGCACTTGCCTAGCATGTGTGAGACCCTGCATCTGATGCTCAGTGCTGCACATAAAGGAATGAATGAATGAATGAATGAATGAGTGAATAAATCCTCAGTGCTACACATAAATAAATAAATAGGGGCTGGGGTTGTGGTTCAGCAGTACAGCGCTTGCCTAGCGCATGTGAGGCCCTGGGTTCGATCCTCAGCATCACATAAAAATAAACAAATAAAATAAAGGTATTGTGGACTGGGAATATAGCTCGGTGGCAGAGCGCTTGCCTAGCATGTGTGAGGCACTGGGTTCCATCCTCAGCACCACGTAAAAATAAACAAATAAAATAAAGGCATTCTATTCATCTACAGCTACCCCCCCAAAAAAATTAAAAATAAATAAAGGTATTGTCCAACTACAACTAAAAAATAAATATTTAAATAAATAAATAAAATAAAATAAAAGATCCATTGACAACTAAAAAAAAAAAAAAGGCCTAAAATAGAAGTTAAGTGTGTGTGTGGCTAGGGTACAGGGAGAATGAGAGCTAGGGAAGAGATGTGAAGGGAGGCTCTTTAGATATACTAGCTGTGTAGATTCTGGTAGAAGGAGTCTAGTCAAGTTCCTTTAGCACTGATGGCCCAGTCAAGGCCAGGAGACTAATACAGAAGATATTTGGCTCAGAAGATTCTGAGTTTGTTGGACTGTTACGGGATGAGGAATTCCAGAAAGCAAAGATCTATAATGTGGCCACATGATCTCTAAAGTGGGTAGGTGAGCTGCCAAGACTGGAGATTGGGTAGGGAAAGGGTTGGGAGGGAACAGAGGGAATCCTTGTTTAATGGGTGTAGCACTGGTCTGGAAACTGAAGGTCTATCTCTTGAGTTTGATATTTTTCCCCAAGCAAGTGGTTGAACCAACTCTTGAGCTATTCTCTGCCTAGTTCCCAAGGTCTCAGGACCTGTCATGTTTGTGACTCCTATTTTCCTGTTTACATAAGACTTTTGTACCATTTAGGGATGCAACATTATATACCCTGAGTGAAAATTCTCTTTCAGGGACACAGACTCAAGAACTCTGAAAATCAGACTTACCAGGCTCTGAATAGCTTGAACACCAGTCGACGAGTGCTCATCTCTGGGACCCCCATCCAGAATGATCTGCTTGAATATTTCAGCTTGGTACATTTTGTTAATTCGGGCATCCTGGGTAAGAATCCAGCCTTGTGTCATAATGGAGAGGAGCTTTTTCTCGTCCTGGGAGTGTAACTCAAATTAAGGAGAGAATGCTAGTTAGTTAGACTAGGGAATCTTAGAGGAAGTCAGGAAGCAGCAAAGCCACTGGGAGGTCTTGGCTCTGCTAGACAACCCAGCAAGACCTACTTTGGCCATTTCTTTCTCTGTAGAAGCAGCAGGGATGATATATAGGGCATTTTTGCTCCTCACACCCTACCTTCCTTATAATTAGACCTTTGACCTCAGCAAACTACTCTGTCTTGAATAGTTTCTTCTTTTTTGAAAAATCATTTTTAAATGTATAGTTCAGTGTTATTAAGTAAATTTGCATTGTTTTATAACCATCATCACTGTTCTTCTTTAGAATTTGTTCATTTTACAAAACTGACATTCTAGCCTTTAAATAATAACTCTTCAATCATTCCTTCCCCCCAGTCCCTGGCCAATATTATTTGGGCAATTCTTGCATATAGATATTTGTGGAAAGGTTAGTGCGTCTCCATCTTGCCAGTCCTCTGGAGAGGCCCTTTATGTGGAGAATTGCTGAGTAGCAAGATTGCCATAATGTGAACATATTTATGTAACCATTACCTGATCAGTTACTACCATACCAGCCTCCTTGTTCTAGTCATTATCTTCTTTCACCTAGAAGTAAATACTTTCTGACACTATGGATTAGATTTGCCCCCCTCCCCCGCCCCCATACTGGGGATTGAATCCAGGGCATTTTACCAGTGAGCTAAATCCCCAGCCCCCTGCCCCATTTTTTGTGGGGGTGGGGAGATGTACTGGGGATTAAACTAAGGGCCACTGAGCCACATCCCCAGCCCTATTTTCTTTTTTTTAGATACAGGATCTCACTGAATTGCTTAGKGCCTCATTTTTGCTGAGGCTGGCTTTGAACTCACAATCCTCCTGCCTCAGTCTCTGAGCCACTGGGATTTTAGGTGTGCGCCATGGTGCCCAGTGGTTTCTAGGTTTTTATTATTTTAAATAGTGATGCTGTGGACATTCTTGTACATGTCTGTACTTCAGCCTGGTATTTATTTCTGTTGGGCAAGTATGTATTTCTTTGTCCTAAGAGTGGAATCACTAGGTTGTATATTCTGCTCATCTATATACTCCAGTTTTCCTGATTGTAACAGTTGTATATGAAAATTCCATTGTGTCTACATCAGGGGTCAATAAACTTTGTCTTCATTGACTGGATAGTATTTTAGATTCATAAGTCATCTTTCTCTGTCATAGGTACTTAACTCTTTTGTTGTAGTATAGAAGCATCTATAAATAATATGTAAATGAATGGTCATGACTATGTTTAATGAAATTTTATAGAAATAGATGGTCGATGGCTAGCTGTGGTTATAGTTTGCTAATTTTTTTTTAATATTGTTTAGTTGTCAATGGATCTTTATTTATTTATATGTGGTGCTGAGAATCAAACCCAGTGCCTCACACATACTAGGCAAGTGCTCTACCACTGTGCCACAACCCCAGCCCACCAGTTTGCCAATCTTATATCACCAATATTACCAATATTTATTACTTTAAAATTTTAGTTACTCTGATGGGTCCTAGCTCATTGCATTTGTCTAATCAAGAAAGTCACTTCTTTCAATATGTTCATTGACCATTTAGAGACCATTCTCTTTTTTTTTTTTTTTTTAAACATTACTGAGCCTTGAACCTCAGACRTACTCTACCAATGAGCTACAACTCTGCCTCTTTTAAATATTTAGTATTTTGAGGCAGTATCTCATTAAGTTGSCAAGGTTGGCCTTGAATTTAGGATCCTCCTGCCTTAGCCTCCTTAGTCACTGGGATTATAGGCCTGCATCATTGCCCCTGAGATCATCCTGTTTTGTGAAGTAAATACTTTTCATAAAAAAAGTTTTGTGACTTTTTTTTTTTATATGTATTTTTTTTTTAGTTGTTGATGGACCTCTATTTTATTTRTTTATATGTGGTGTGCTGATAATTGAACCCAATGCCTCACACATGCTAGGCAAATGCTCTACTACTGAGCTACAACCCTAGTCCATGGCTGATTTTTTTTCCCCCCTATTTTTAAACATTTTGTTTATTTGATCATCAGTTGATAGACATTTGTGTTGTTTCTACCTTTCCACCTTTTGGCTGTTGTAAACAATGCTACTATAGACATTCATTTACAAATTTCTACTTGGATATATTTTCACTTCTTTAAGTGTTTACTTAGGGGCTGGGGATGTGGCTCAAGTGGTAGCGCGCTCGCCTGGCATGCGTGCGGCCCGGGTTCGATCCTCAGCACCACATACCAACAAAGATGTTGTGTCCGCCGAGAACTAAAAAATAAATATTAAAAATTCTCTCTGTCTCTCTCTCTCTCTCTCCTCTCTCACTCTCTCTTTAAAAAAAAAAAAAAAAGTGTTTACTTAGGAGTGAAATTGCTATATCACAAGATTTACTCTGTTTTAATGAAGATGTCTATTATTAGATTGAGGAAATTAGCTTCTATTCCTAGTTTGTTGAATATTTTTTATGAAAAGGTGTTGGAAGATGTTTTATTATTTTACCTTACATTAAAGTCTATAATTTATCTTAAATTAGTTTATTTATTTTTTATTTTTTTAGTCATCAATAGACTTTATTGATTTATATGTGATGCTGAGAATTGAACCCAGTGCCTCACATATGCTAGGCAAGTGCTCTACCACTGAGTAACAACCCAGCCCCTTAAATTAGTTTTTATATGTAATATAATGTGAGAATTAAGATTAATCTTTTTCCATAAGGATATTTAGTTAGCCCAGCACCATTGAAAAGACTGTTCTTTATGCATTGCATTACAGTACTACCTTCTTCATAAATCAGATGTCCATCTATGTTAATCTATTTGTGAACTTCTGTTAGTATTTTTCTGCTTTAATTACTATTGCTTAATATGTCTGGATTAATGTGAGTTTTAATGTATGTTTTCCAGCTATACTGGGGACTGAACCTAGGGCTACTTTTACTTCTAATTATATCCCCAGACCTTTTTGTGTTCAATTTTGAGAAAGAATCTCACTAAGTTGTGCAGGCTAGCCTTAAACTTGTAATCTTCTAGCCTCATCCTCCCAAGAAGTTGGGATTATAGGTGTGCTCCCACAGCTGGCCCAGCATAGTTTTTTTTGGATTTCTCTACATACAAAATCATGTCATCTGCAAATAATAATTTATGTCTTTTATCCTAATTCTTTGGCTTTTCATTTCCGTTTTATGCATTAATTACAGCTTTTTTTTTTTTTTTAATGCGGTGCTAAGAATTAAACCCAGTACCCAACACATATTTGGCAAGCACTTTACCACTGAGCCACAACCCCAGCCCTTCACATGTACAATGCTGGATAGAAGTACTGTTAGAAGATCTCATTCCTGATCTAGGGAGGAAAAGAAAGCCTGTCTGCTAGCCTGTGTCCTTCCTCTTTCTCTTCCCTGCTCCCTCC